CCCTACATTTGAACCCTAAAGTTCAAAGTGGGGATCCAGCCTTGACAGATGGCCTATGCATATTCACACTTATGTGATACCTTGCTCCCAGTACTGCAGAGCTTCAGAAATCTTCTGGGAAAATAGCGTCTACTGGGGCCACAGGAGCCCTGTTGTTTGCCAATAGACTTTTGAAGTAGAGATAATAAAAGAGGAAGTGTGGCCCCCAACTGCTTCTGTTCCTTCCTTTTCAAGGGCCAGATGGGAAAGTAGGGATTTTCTCTCTGCCTAAATTTTTTTGTTTTTGACTTTTTTACCCCGATGGAGGGGTGTGGGGTGGTGGTGGGAGGTGATTCTAAATTCTTTTGGGTGTACCTTAGTTGTGCCATTATATATCTAGGCCAAGATTTTCAAAAATCTAAAATTCCTGGATCATTGCACTTGTAAGGCCTTCAATCAGAGGCCTGTACTAAAAGGCAGTGAAGGCACCATGCCTTTCTTGGCTCTGACCTATGATCAGGTGTTTGTCCACTTTGTGCTGGGATACTTTGAGTTTGTCTCCTTTGTGCTTGGTGCCAACAAAATTGGTAGGGGACAGGACAGGAAAAGTGCAAAGGGATCTTCAGTGCCAGAGTTCTCAGCACCAACCTGGAAAAAGGGAAAAAAAAAAAAAAAAAAAACTTAATGTGTCTAGAGAGTATGCAGTTGAGTTATTTGTCATGGCACTGCCAATGCAAGGGACTCATTCAGCTTTACCCATTTTCCTGGTCACTAGGATTCCTGGTTCTTCTCCAGTGATAGTCAATATTAGTCTTTTGGCACTATCTCCAGAGCATAGACTGGTTCTTTTGAGTGCACTTTTCTGGGGAAAACTCAATATCCAATTCTGATGAGGCTGGACTCAGACAGAGTCTCTGATACTCTATTCTGTGAGTTGTCCTAGTCTGCCTGGGCTTATAGGCTCTCAGGGACAGCTATTGGATCAGGAGTGCTCAATATCCTGGGCTCTTACTCTCTTGGGCTCCAAGGAGTTCTCTGATTCTCCAGCCTCTTGGGGCACCTTCCCTTGCCCAGTGGCTAGCTGGCCATACTGATAATTTTCCTTTGCAACCATCAGGATCTGGGGATCCTCACTTTCTTCATCTCCCAAGTCAGTTAAGATGCCATTTCCCCAGTCACTTCTTGTGCCACCTAGACCAGTTGGCCTTGTCCCCTCTTTTGGCCAATGTTCCTAACCAGCTGTCATATTCAGAGGAGGAAGAAGGGGAAAGGAATTGGAACAACCATTTTTATAGTGAGCAAAAGGGGATTTCTTCAGCCTCAAAACTTCTAAGCATATATGTGTGACAGACTTGCAAATATCCTATAATA